TTCTTAAAAGTTCACAATTCAATTAAATAATAGAAGCGACATTGATGTAATGTGAAGAACTCATAAATCATAATGTTTTAGTTTTGACTGGTTGCAAAGAAGGTGTTATAATGAATAGAATAACGAATATAACGCATTAAAAAGAATGCAAGGCGATTGTTGTAAAGGTAAAGATTTCTTTGATACAATCAACCAGGTATTTACACAAATAATACAAAATAGAAATGTTTTCTGCCAATATCAACAAAAATTTGGCGTATACATATGTCTCAATATATTATGTATAGAAAAAAGAAAGGAATCAGATTAAAGCAAACGACATATACTCAACATATACTTAAATATAGATATACTAAACTATTCATAACAACACAACTTTATGGATTTACTACGTTACAGGTTGTGTTATTAAGAATATTATACCTCCTAAATGTCATTCAAGGAACATACGAATAAACTATTATCAATACGTATATGGGGAAAAAGAGAGATGCAATTTGAGCAATAAAATAAGCAGTAACATTAGATTACGGAACTTCCTATTTAAATATATACATACATAAAATTATATATTTAAATGATTTTCTATTTCTATTTTCTATTTAGTTCACACAAAACAAAGACTATTACCGTCTCTAGAAAACTAAACCGTACTCTTAACAATCTTGTCAACTGGCTGGGTTTAGATTCCCCGGTAGTACGTTACAAGGAGTATGGTCGCCTGTCGCACCTCGTGGGTTTTCTCCGGGTCCTACGGTTTCCTTCCGCTGCTAAAGACCCCTACGCGCAAGCGAATTATGGAAATAAAATTGAACCATATGTTAGTCCCGAAAGTTTGTGTCGAGTGGACGTTAAACCCCATCTCTCTCTGTCTCTCTGCTCTCTGACGCGTCTTGGGTCATGTTTATTGGACAATATCACCCCTCTAAATGCGAAACAGGAAGTGTTAATCTGCTAAATATAGCCTAACTTGGGTAGCTGACTCGAATTCCAAACAATCAATCAATCGTTTACAGTCTACATACGTATTTTCCTGCTATTTCAGTCCGTGAATAAAGAAACTTTAATGTGGTCCAATATAGCGTACCTTATGGGACTGACCTGAATCCCCCCAAAACAATCAATCGTCGCTCGGGATCTGCCCCCCCCCCCCCCTCGCCGAGAAAAATTTTGACAGCCGCAAATGCGTTTTTCTGCTATTCTTACCCGTGAGTTAAGTAACTTTTTCAAAGTTGTTTAAACGTTTTGCAACCGAAATATCACTCTTTGCAGACCTGAATTACCATTATCCAATTAGACTGTTGCATCTGCATTCACAAATAATAATCGATGCCCGAAAAATGTCGCACAAAATAGAGTGGCTCCAGACAAAATGTTTTAATCCACAGCCAATTCAGCACAAATTCGTGGCATTGAATTAAAAGAAATGCAAAATTAGTGTTTTATTAGATTTCGGACACTTTAATTTGTCAACTTGATAAAAAAATAATTTTTGTTACCACTTTAACCGTCGGGTCAGTGTGGTGGGGGGGGGGGCTGAGACACTTATCCAGGGGCCTGGAGCCTAGAGGGGGTCCGGAAGTATGTCGAGTATATGTTTTGATATAAATTAATAATCAATCAGCGTTGATGTTTCGGCATAACAGACCGTGTCATTGGCTAATGCTTCTCTTCAACAAGAAAGCCGGTAATATGGACTCAGGCTAGCAATTATTTGTCCATTGTCTTCAATGCTAAATGACAGGCTGTAGTTTTTGGCTCAACATTCCGTTGGTTCCAATCTTTATAGGCACAACAGGGACCACATTTGGCAATCTCCTCATCATTATTTTGTAGGGGCTTAACCGTTTAGATTTTTTGCCACAGGGATTTGATGTTGATTAAGGTCACAATCTCACTTCCGATACAAAGATTATTCTGCAGAAAGACACTTTACACCACCTATGCCTCCACTGTAATATCATCAGTAATACCCAAAACTGCTCTGAAAATGCAAGTTTGATCCCTTTTCTCCAATTCTCGACCAAAACGTCAACCAAAAATACAGGAAGAGGGGAGAAAAAAACCAAGGGAAAAATTGTCTATTTATAACTCGCACTATATTCGTGAAATAAGTGTGGTTTAATGGTCGAGAGCGAGACATTAAGTAATATATTGAAACAGCACGAGTGACGTTTGTCACGAGTTGTTGTTCCAATGTGTTACGCAATGTCTTAAGCTCGAGACCATTAAACAACTTAAAATACAGACACTTGCACGTGCTTTGCAATGAAATACGTCACTCTTGTCCAATATTTTAACTAATTACAGTTGGCACATTGCCCGTACCATTATTTGAAATAATGGTACGCCAACATCAAAGGATGACGTCACATGTCTACATGTATTTTTAGGGGAAATAATTACAAGTCTTAATCCATATGACAACTCTTCCAGATCATAGCGTAATACCGTAATGCGAAAATTTGTAATGGGGATATAATTCGCACACACATTCATTCGTTTCTTTATTAATTCACTCATTTATTTAATGTCCAATGTGTTGTTTTAATAACTTATTTAAACTTCAATAGATTTCTCTTAATACTAGTTATACGCTATACGTGAAGACATTAATCTGGTATGCCGACATTTTTGGTAACCGACGGTGGACAGACGACTCACTAATAGTTTTAATTGAATGATAATCTTAATCCTTATTAGTCCCATTATTTGTAATTAAATATTTGTTTATATTTTATTGTGTAGATACTAGATATCCATTCAAGATTCTAGGCTTCGTCCCGTTTCCCGGAGACGATATTTGTTGTTTTCCGGTATTAAATAGTTTAAAGGAGTATTCATGTGTATATTTATTTCCGAAGATTCGCACTGCTATTTTATTGGCTAATTATGATGTAATTAATCATGTGATTGGTCATTCATGCCAAATATTGAATGGTAACTTTCCGATCACGTGGTTTTAGACATAGAATTTATCCTTGAACTTAGACCCATTTTCCTGTTATTCTCACAATATTTCATAAACAATTGAATTTGCGTTTTAAATAAACTCATACCATAGCTAATATACTGACAATGGAAAATACAAATAAAACATTATGTATTTATCAAATTATAACTCATGTCCTCTGGTGCACTTATATTCGTCTAATACAATTTCGCATAGATTTTCAAATAGTATTACATTAGCCCGGTCAGGAGGAGAATAGTAGAAAGTTAAACTCCATTTTATTTCATAATTTTAAATGTTTTAATGACAAAGCACCTGTGAACTAGTTGAATGCTACTCACCACCACAAAGTCCATGTTCTTCCAGTGATAGGCATGAACGACCCTTCTCGTATACCAAGCTGCGTTGCCCTAGAATGGATCCCTTGGACCTAGGTAGGATAGGCGGCGAGCCCTCGATCCCGACTGACAGTCAGACCTAACTACCTCCTTTACCTTATATAAGACCCTAGCATTGATGGCAAAGCGGGACAGACTGCGCATGTTCGCAACTTTACTTCTAATACCCTTAGCTTTCTCCTTTCGATGAATTTCGCCTTGGATGCTTCCCGCTAGCAAAGACATTGTGTCCTTACCAAAGCTAGACTAAGCCTATTTTTATGGCTTCTTCTGGCGAGTTTCTTAGGAAACACTTGTCTGCGATATCACCCTAGGTGGTAGTGGACGTAAAACCCCAGAAGAGAACAAAGGAAATTATATATAGGGTTGTTACGGGAGATAATAGTACGGCATATTTGGTAAATATGGAAATTAGAAACACCCAATCTTACTAAACAAAATACTAGAGTATCTGACAAATACCCACGAAGCGCACACGCGATAGAAATGTAATGCCCGGTTTTCACGTGAGCTACGAATGCCAAGAATCGCCCGAATCCAAACTGGACGGTTCTTGAAGTTCGTAAGTGATTTTTGAAACAAAACCCTTTGCGACTCGCTTTCATATGGGCTACGAATGCCACGAATCTTCCCGAATCTAAACTTTTTTCCAATTCGTAGAGAAATCGCAGACGGTTCTTGAAGTTCGTGGGTGAGTCTTATTTGGTTCTTACACATTCGTATTGTTCGTAGTTCGGCCACGAAGACACGAAAGATTTTATTTGTCAAAAACTTTTGTGGACGGTCTACAAATTTTGGAATTCGTAGATGTATCGTAAACCCGTTGTAGCCCTTTCTGATCGTCCGTAACAGCTTCCTATTCGATTCTTTGACGAATAGTGCCAAATATCGTAAACTTTTCGTAGCTTTATCGGCATCATTTGTCGAGAGCATAGTGTATTCGTAACTGAATTCGACATATTTGTAAGCGATTCGGCATATCCGTAACTCTTTCGTAACTGAATCACAATTCATATAGATGATTCTTTCATTTCAGACTTTTATCGTAACACTACCTTGACACATAAGGCATATTTGTCATCCGATTACCTACGAATCATTGTAACTCTTTCGTAAACTATTCGTAACTACTTCGTAGCTTCTCCACATTCTCTACGATCTTTTTGATTTATTTTGCTGAATCGACACGAATTTCGATTCGTTACTATTCGTGACGATTCGTAGCATTTGTAGACCACGTGAAAGCCGGGCATTAAGGGATCACTAACTGGCAGCCCGAATGATGTTGGGAGCTCTTAGAGGCTTAAACGTTCTGCAGGCTTTGTGCTTAAACGGCGGAAATTTAAGTTGGCAGAGCAAAATGCCAGAATTTATTTATGGTAAATGGATTGCGAATACCCCCCCCCCCCAATTGTTTTTCGGGAGGGGGGTCTGAATATACTTGGACAAATACTTGGTGTGAGACAAATAATTCTCAGGTAGATATTTGAGAGGGGTTGTAACGAACGAGACAGTAGGGATAGATTGAACTACTTTACAGAAAATCTCTGTCATTCACGGGAAGAGTCGCCGCCGAATGAATGGTCTACTGCTCTAAACAAAATTAGTATTATACTAGAACTTATATATATGAAAGGAACTTTAACAACTGATCAATATATTGATTTTATTTAAGCCATAATGAAGTCAGCCACAATGCCAACTCCGTTTACCATGACAATCATCGTTAGTGAAACAATTTTAGTTTTACAAATTATATTGTATTCTTTTATCTTCAGTTCATACATATATATATTCTAATAAATATCAGTACATACATACTGAAGATAAAAGAATGATTAATAAGAACACGAATAAATTGGTCAAGATATAAATAGTGCAATGAAAAATCAAAATAAAATTCACAACAATTTAGATCGTTTACATACATTTAAAAGTAAATAATACGTCGGCTATTATTTTAATATACAGAATGTTGTTATTATTCAGTAAACATGTCCATGGGTTGGCTTGTACATTCACAACTCGTTTTATTTTTATTTACTATAATGCTTTTAATGGATTGTGTATGGTCAAAATAAAATATAGCATGGTTTGTACAATGGCAGCTGTTATTGGTCGTTGATGCATGGAACTGTGTGTAAACCACTAGAAACGTCAACGCTGATTGATTAATCAATTTCTGACGTCACAGGATCAAAAGCCGCTCGTACGACCCCTGACGCGACCGTCCAGTACAACCGGTCAAATCTTCATGTGGTAGAGACCATCGAAAGTATAAAAAAAAACGAATTATAGATCTGTAATTTACTCAGATAGGTTTTCTACCATCTTGAAACCATATATCAATAGATTATAATGAAAGATGTAGACCTTATCTGTTAATGAACATGGCAACTGACTGCCCGACAGCGCAACAAAGGGACTTACTAAACAGAGGTGACAAAAGTATACTTCAACATTAAAGATCCATTCCCACGTACAAACTGTGTGATTTTCGTGATCTATTTGGAATAATAACATCCTTAAATCAATTTATAAAATGTTTGCTTCAAATCTCTCTCAATACATTACCCCATGCAGTGAGAATTTATTTTCATCAGCCTTGTTTATCATGCAACTTGATTGAGGGATAATCTGTTTTTAGTTCAACATATCAGACAAGCTGTCCGTTAGGATACCCTCAATTTTGTCTTGTGTGGCCCACCCATGGAAATCCAATATTTTTCTAAAAAGATTGAGAGTCTTTACATTCAATGTATACCCAAATTAACACAAGGTACAATTTTATGGATACACAATTACTGGGTTTAATACTGAAATTGTACCTTATGTTAATATGCTCAAGTACTAAATGCCAATCAAAGAAGATATACCAAAATTGCCACAGCTTTATTGGAAATAACTACCGGATAAATACTTTCGTGGGGATGCATCTTTATAAAGATTATAAAAAAAAAGTTGCTAAGGTATACCTCTAACCTAAAAAGAATTCACAATAAAATAAAAACTATAATTAAATAAGCAATATAGACGGCTAAATGGACGTAGGTAAAAGGAAAAATAATAAGTGTCTAAACTAAACGTTAAATATGCATTATGCAAGAGCTAAATCTGCCTATTTTAGGTCTTTTGTTTAGTTTTTAAATGTTATCTAAATTATTAATGAGTCATTAGTTAACTTATCAAGACCATAATCAACTTTCGATGGCATCGTTAGCCTGAGAAATTTAGTTGATTTGAATACGTTTTGTGATCGATGATTTATGGTCTTCCGTAAAACACATACAATGAAACTGTTATCTAAATATCATATCTCAATTACCAAAACATAAAAATAAGTATTAAATCAATAGAAAGTAATATATGTTGAAATGCCTAAAATTAGTGTCTAAACAAACATTATTGGGACTGGCTAAAATAAAAAGAACGATACAGGTTTTAATTCCTTGAATCATTTCGTAGAATAGTTAGCAATTCATTGAAATTTGATAAAAAAATAAAGAGTTTAACATCGCCTTTAAAGCGGCGGTTGAAACATCCTCTTGCACCACACTTAACCAGTGAGTCGCCCTAATCTGAAACAGAGAAATACAAAGATGAATATTATTCGATGAATACGGAGATAACCACAGAAAATCAGGACCATAATTAAACTAGGTTCGCCGTTCGGAAACAGGGGCCATTACTAAGTTGACCCATGGCTCTGAATTTTAATAGTATTTATGACTATCGAAAACATCTGCCCTGTTTACTAACTGTTCCTCTCATTTGCATTCTGATTAAAACACAGATCCTATTTCGTTTCGTTTTTTTATATTTCAAAATTTCGTTTTACTGGTCTGTTCTACACTAGGATCTGGAAGAGTAAATTGTTATCATTGACGTGTTCTGGGTGTTGTGAGAGATTAGCCAGGAAACGGTCTTTTACGACAAGCATTTGGCGTGAATTGCACGAAACTGTGATTGGTTAATCAAATGTCTGACGTATGACCTCTGGCGCGACCTGCCAAAACAACTGGTCAGATCTTCATGTAGTGTAGGCCATCGAAAATAAATCATCTTTAATTCATGCTTGTTTCTACATGGTGTGATTGCTATGTGTCGGACTGTCTATAGAATGCATGTTAATAAACAGTAGCCTACCTGTCACGTTGGCATCTATCAAACCGTAAAATGGTGTATCACCATTCTTCTGATACTTCCTGTGTAAAATTAAAGTAAAACTTGCAAACGTTATCCCGTAATCGTGTCACCAGGCCCGTAGCTAGCGGGTGGGTGGGGGGCAAGAGGGAAATCTGCCTCTCCTGGAAACGATCGGTGCATCCAATCGTGCCTTTGTCCATTGCGGAAAGAATCGTTTCTCCCACTGGACGCTGCTACGGGCTTGGTCACATCGAACATAAGAAAAGGAATGGGGTTTAACGTCTCGTCAACCCGATACTTTGTTCATTTTGAGACTAACATATGGTTATTTTTGTTCAATGCTAGGGAGAAGAATGTTACAGTTTCTGTTTACCCTTTATGTCAAGTATTTCGTTTTTACGTTCATCCCAATGAATACATGGGTGGACCGCGAGTTTTTTGTCCCTTCCGAACGACTCTGCAGCACTTTATTTGTGAGCCCTCGTCGGGTTTCGAAACCAGGACTTTCTATTCCAATGCCCTAACATAAGAAAATACGACATACTCATTCCATTTAGGCATTATCATATATTTATTATTGGTAGTTTGACAACTGCAAAACTTTATTTTAATATAGAACGATAGAAATGAATGTGATGGCTTACCATCCAATTTGGTTTTTACATTCCTTGCCTTTACAGTGCATGTAGGACCAATCATAGCCGATGTCATACCACACATATTTAGGATGTCCGATTCGATTACTGGTGACCTTAATGTCAGCTTTTGAAGTCGTGTATACATCAAAGATATCGTCTGAAAAAAATAAAGAAAAACATAATGGAAATAAAAATATTGCTGTTTTAATATCCCATCATATTGGAGTTTTCTTTTTACAGATGCCAATACTACTAAGCTGCTAATGTACGTGCAAAATAATCATTTACATGAACAGCGTAGACACTAACAAACATAGATCGAGGTTTGTTAGGCCGACTAAAGCGTCTATCAGCTTCAATGTCAACTAATCCCACTATTAACTCTGTCCCAAGCAATTCGGACAGGATTCAATACCACAACGCATTAACTCTGTAACGTAAGTGTAGGTTTATCGGTCAGGGGAGACTACTCTGGGCCTATTATTCTCCCACCAAATGATAGTATTACAAATTATGTTTCTAAGAAACATGTAAATTTTACCTTTTTGTTGGTTGGGGTGATGTAGCTGATAAAACTAAATGTTATATTCGAGTACAGATTAGCGTCACAAATCACCATTCACATCACCATATTTCTCAAAAGAAACACCCCGAGACCCCCGCCCCCTCTCCACTTGCCTTTTGTAATGAAATACTCTGACTTTGAGTTACTGCTTGAACTGGTATAGAACAATTTGCAAAATTACCAACACTGACAATTTGATGAATATATGTCAAGAATTGATGTTTGTAAATGTACTGCACTGTGCGTTTAACACCACTTGTACAAAAACATTCAAACTCGTCGAGACCATCTTTACTCCGAATCCATCTATTATTCAGAATTTGTGCTGCAAAAGGAGTTTACACTTGCAGGTGTGGATTAGTGACGGACGAACATTGCCGATCACAATATACGACTACTTTTCTTAAGCTTGGCTCACAACCCACCGTACGTGTTATGGACACACACGTATCGTAGGGTCTGGCTGCTCACAGACCAGCCGCAAGAAACCGGGTGAAAGTTTTGTAAATAATACGGACACGGTACTTGTCACGTACAGGCTGCATGTGTGACTTATTCAAAGCGTTAAAAAAATCTTTGTAATTCCGTAGAAAGCGTTAGTGCTCAGTGCGTCAGTAATGCTTGCGTAGTAGGTGTGACTTAAAATTAACCAATTTCGTGCACTTGAAGTACGGCCCACACATGTTATGCACGTGATTAGCACGTGACAATTACTCCTGACAAAACTGAAAAGCACGCCAGTTTCGCCTCTGGCATATTAGCTAAAGAAATTGAATATTTTCATAGTTTAAAACATAGGAACAGCGACGAAAGGCCCAGAGCGGGAACAGTCAGTGGAGCACCCAGTAGCAGAAGTTGCGGAAAACTTAGCTGCCACCTCGAGCCATATGTTGGCAATCTCAAGAATGCTAAATGGCTCATCTCTGTATTCATCGTATATAGCACGACACACCTCCGGTACAAACATGCAAATGGTATTTGATGCCAAACAGAATGAAAACTTACGTGACTTGTATATATTTCCTGTAGCCAGGAATCGGATGGTAGCCAGTTTAGTGACTCCCTATCTAGCTCTTCGAATAGGTTGTGATACTGAACAAAAAGCCGACTCATGTTCCGAAGTCGACGTTCCTGTATTAGTAGTGGCCATATGACCTCGTGTCTTAATGCCACGCTTCTATCAACAACCTTAGTCGTGCCGGTATGGCGCGAGCCATATTTGTGCTTTCTGCAGTCATACACGATAGACAATCTCCCAAGTAAATCGTTTTTATGCACTGAATGCACGCCACACACAGCGGTAGTAAGTGCGATGTACTTCTGACCCGCGGATCGCAATGATAGTAAGTCAGTAGTGCATGTGCGGTAGGTCTAATGCACGTCACTCGTATAAAGCCGTGCGTCTGACGTTGTCTTACTGTTATCGCAAATAACTTGCTAGCTGTGCCACTGTACAACAGGAGTACGGTCCTCGTACGTACTACATGCATTCGTGATTGTTCGTAAGACTCGTAGAATTAGCATGTGTAGGACCAAAAGTCTCTACGACCAGTCTGCATGATCTTCTAGGGTGCCGAACACACCAAAGTGACGCGTACGTGTTTACTAAAATTTCACCCGTAGGGCGTAAGACCGGGTTGTGAACTAGGCTTTAGCATTTACCAGAAATTGAATATAACCAGATTAAAGTGAAATAAATAAAATGTCAATATTATACCCGTTTCGTTAATGAATTTTTGCTTTAATACTCCCTCTGCGCCGAATACCGTAACTGTTGACTTCTCAAGAGCACCAACACCGGGTATATTCAACAGATCAGAGCCATGAGCAACTGTGTGCAAGCATTGGTTGCATTTTATGCTTTCTGAAATATATAATTGTCTTTTTAGGTAAAGCGCTTAGATATATCATCGGATATAATGAAGCGCTATAGAAGATGAATAATAATAATAATTACTTGCACATTTATAACTACCTTTATCTACGTCAAATACTTGTCATTGCGTCAAAGTATATCATCCACTTTTCATCATTCTACCGAAGTTAGAAGCAGAGTTATCATGTTCAAGCGGAGTATTCTCATCGTCGACCGCGGTCAAGACATTCACCTCTCGGGCATCAACACCAACTTTGAACAATCTACTTCAATTAGAAGTTACTGTGTAGTCTTGACATATCTTAACTCAACCAAAAGCAGAAAAGACATTTTTATAGCCCTTAGATGTTAAAATAACCAGGCATTAAATGGCCGAAATTTGTTTTTGTTTTTACTTCGTACGCTTCTATTTGGTCTAGGAACAGTTGGTTTCGAGTTAGATCTGGACTTTTATGCACTTTGGTGAAACGTTTACAAACTTAAAATCCACACGAAAACATATTTGTAAAGGTTGTGTTTGGTCAAGTGCTGTACATACTTCGTTTTCCTTATATAAAAATAAGCGTGGGTTGGCCAGGGCTTCCCTATTTTCAGTCAATTTGTAAAAAGTCTTGTTTAAAAAAAATAACATGACATACCAGGCAAATATGCATCCAATTATAAGCACCTGCAGCACAGTCCAACGATTGGTAATACCCCAATTACCTTAACCTCTTTAAAATTTATATAATTATGTTTCTACAAATATTCAATTTTTCCCCTTCAAGGTGCCCAGCCTCCTCATTATAGGTCGGAGCTAAAATCCCACATTTGAACGAATCGGAATAAACACAATCCAATAATAACATATATAACCGTCGATCCTAAAATTTGACTGAAATTCATCATATGGTTTACGAGAAAAAGTCGGAAATGAGTGAAAATGACATCATAAAGAAGTTTACCAGTATTCCTCTCCATACTAGGTGTAGAATTCAGCATTGCTTCGTAATCAATTATCTGTTTCCATTGCTTCTTTTGTGTCTCTTGTAATTCATCAATTACTTTGCTGAGTCTTTTACTCTCCTGTTCCTGTTTTAATCGGGCTATTTCTTCATCCCTTGCTTTTGACTCAAGTCTTTTACTTTCCCGGATCTTTGCTTCACGTTCCTGCTTTAGTCGGGTTATGTCTGCATCCTTTGCCTTAAATGCAACTTGTAATTCGACAAGTGATTTCTCTTTCTTTGTTAATTCATCAGTCTGTACGTTCAGTTTGTCAAAAAGTTTGTTACACTGTTCCTTCAATTTTCGTTCTTTCTTTTCACCCTCTCTTTTGGCCTCTTCTTTCTTTTCACGAAAGATAGCTTCCGCCTCTTTGTACATTCTGTTTGTGTAATGTTTGTCTTCATTGTTTTTGTGAGTTTTGGCAAGAAGTTCTGCTATTTTCATAACCTGGTGTTTTAATTCCTCCTCCCCTGCCTTGTTGTTGATAGCAGCATACCTGTGTTTACACTCGTCTAAAAACGCATGCAATTTAACAGGTGCTTCTTTCAGCCATTGGTCAAGCGTTTGATCTTCAAGCTGATCAGCGCCAGTAAATACCACAACCAGATGGTCAAGGGCGTGCTTACCAAAAGTATTCTTGAAAAGATCGATGGAATCCTCTTCTTCTTTAGAAAATCGGCTGTTAATACTCATGACGTATATGAATATATGCGGGCCTGGAGCTGTTTTGAGGATACATCTTGCTATTTCTGTGGCAACGTTGACATCTGATCTCGTATCAAAAAAGCCAGGTGTGTCGAGTACCTTCAGCGATTTTTTCAATTTGTAAAGTTTTCGCTCTGAAACATCTGAACATTCTTTCGTTACCGATAAAGATGATCGTTTGCAAGCAAATTCATTCTTATTCAATAAACTATTTCCCAAGGAGCTCTTCCCGGACCCAGTTTTTCCAACTATAACCAGCCTTATTTCCTCGAATTCATCTAGAAAGATAATAGTAATTTGATATTATACAATAGTACTATGGAAGCAAATATTAATTTTCATCGCAGCTGGTTGGGAATACGCCCCATACAGCAGCCAAGTCTCAAAAGAGAAACTTGGATGTTGATCAAATTTGATAAAGACCTAAGATAAGGATAAGTATCAAGCTTGATTAAAAACGACCATATTATTCCACGGTACTATTATATTGGAGATAGAAAAAATCAAATAATACATAGTAAACTGAGATTAGGCTGCTGCGATTTAAATGGTCATAAGTTTTTGAGACATTTAACGGATAGCCCCGCCTGCGCGTGTGGTTATCATTATCTACTAGTATGCTCCTTGCATTCGGGTGCCCGAGGTCAAACTATTGGTTTACTAAAGCAGCAATTTCAAGATATTAGTACTTTATTAAATGGTCAGTTTGTCCTCTCAGTTGATCAAAATGAGTTCATTTTTAACACTGTTCATAATTTATTAAAATTGTCAAAACGTTTCTAACGTCCAAATCATCCCGTCTGTTATTGATTTATTTACTCTATACATAATATACCAAATAATACTTCACGTTTAGGTAGGTCTTATATGGAGGGGAGGGGGTTTGCGGCACTACTATATTGGTACCATATTAATATAAAATAACGGAACGGACAACTGTATATATGTATAAATGTTTAGTTTATATTTAAATCTCAAATAATTTTATATTTTTATATGTTCTTGTTGTATATTATGTTCTGTATGTACATAAATTAAACTTATTTTTGTAAATTCTGGAGAGGAGTTAACATAGGCCCAGCCTGTTCTCCAATCCATTTTCAAATGAAATAAAATACTGTTTACAAAAAAAAAGGATAAGTATATATAGAGAGAAAAATGGGGTTTAACATCCACTCGACACAAACTAGGTCATTTTGGTTACTAACATATGGTTTAATTTTTATTTCAATAATTCGCTTGCGCATGTAGGGGTATTTAGCAGTGGGAGGAAACCAGAGGACCCGGAGAAAACACATGGTGTTGGACAGGCGACCCTACTCCTAGGATAAGTATATCCGGGGTAGAAATTAAACTCGGCGTAAAGAAATTGTGGGCGGACGGTCGAATGAACAGCGGTAAAATTAATAGAGATCAAGTTAAATTTCTTCACATTAATTGTCGGGCAGAATTTAAAGGACCACGAGACAACCATAGTGTAATGTACCTGACTCTCAAGGCCCTAAATTCATATCTATGTTTAATTTATTTCCATTTCATTTATTATAAACGGTGTAATAGGAACATTTAATAATAGTAACTATGAATTTTACCAGACGATCTTGGACACAAATATGAGACTCACAGAATCAAAAACTAAATTTAAGAAATGTAAACATTTGTTATATCTTCGCCATCCCCATAGCTCTGTATTAACGTTTTCCGACCGACTCAATTTTGTGGATTCAAAATCACCAAATCTAAACAACGTTTTCTCACCTTTTCTCATGTCCGGTAAACGGCTGGAAACGGTATTATTTTCCCGAACATTATGTGAGGAAGGTTTGGGATAAATAATAAACAACTTACCATAGTTATAATGACATGAAAATATGTAGGGAATGAAAGTACCCATGACATGGACATAAAAACCTGTTTATAACCCCCCCCCCTCACAAGTCATATTCAGGTGACCTTAATATACCAACGTTACCACCATAAATATTGTGAAGATTGTTTGTCCAAGTAACGGCAAACAGGGTATTTTATATTTTTGGGCATGATACAATTAGATATAAAACATACTACCATTCGGGGTTCCTCTATGAAGAATAGCCTCTTTAAATCTTGCCAAGCTGCTCTTCTTTTCCTGCTTTTCTTTTCTGCCTTCATTAAATTCGATAAAACCGCTTTCATCGGAGTCATCTGAACATTCTATACAAAACAGCAAGTCTTAGTCATGGAGAAAACGATCATCCCCGCTCATTATTTAAAAGATATATCCCACCGTGAACAAAAGGTTACGAATTAATTCGGCTGTCAAGGACTTCCATGTTCAAAATGCGATCTGTAGCATAGTAAAATGTAAAAAATTAAAAGTAAACCAGGAAATTCTTATCTAAAAGCGATATATTTCTGGGGGGTTGGATGGCCGAATGGTTAGCACGCGCGCTGTATCATGCGGTCTGTCACTGAGTCAACTGGCGGGGTTTCGATTCCTCGGTTGTACGTGACAAGGTGACAAGGAGTAGGGTCGCCTGTCCAACCTCGTGGGTTTTCTCCGGGTCCTCCGGTTTCCTCCCACTGCTAAAGATCCCTACGCGCAAGCGAATTATTGAAATAAAATTAAACCATGTTAGTCCCAAAATGACCTAGTTTGTGTCGAGTGGACGTTAAACCCCATTTCTCTCTCTCTCTCTCGATTCCACGATAGTGAGAGTGAGAGCCGAGTAGGGACTAGAATTAATGATAAAATATTTGGCGATCTGTGACCTCGTGAAACTGTTTACATAGTGACTAGTCCCGATCATACAGAAAAAAACAATAGCAAAGGGTAGCGAACCGTACTGACGTTTACCATTTAGTCAACCACAACAAATTTATAATTTCTAGAAATACATTATAATCACAAAGATAATTCGACCTATGCTGAACACAGTTTAATTTAAGTGATACACATGTAGTTAGTAACAATACTAACCTGATTCAAGTATCTCCACGGCATGGTCATAATTGAGGTTTTTCAAGACGTCAATAAACTTTTCATAACTATTATGACCGGATCTTTCAAGTAAAATCGTTAAGATCTGGTTATTTTGTTCCTTTGTTCCAGCTTTTGATGTCACCTTCTCGATATCATTTTGGTCGAATAGATGCTCTTGGAATAAAGCAAAACAAATACTTGTCGGTTCTAAATCGCCGAGCAGAAATGTATAATTTGATTGAATTTTGCTGTACCCTTTCGGTGCCATTTTTCCCTTTTGCGTGTACTTCACCATTTCTGTAATAAAATCGTTATATTTCAAATGGCCTTGATAAAACATGAAATGTATTGCTTAAGATATACTTTTCAAAAAAAGTAGGGGATATTTGATTTTTAAGTGTTATTAAAGTCACCTAATGAAACTGACGAAGAAACAAATGACAAAATGAAATGAAGTTCACATTCATCGATTTATTCCATATGATCGTTAGACTAAGTAAGGCACAGACTGACCATTATAAGGCTAAAATGATACCCGGGGTCAAACAGCAAAGTTACCACAGCATCACAACCAAGTCAGTAACGGGTAAATCCTCCTCTGTTTGCCAAACAAGCATTGATCCGACGTGGCATACTCCTAATGAGACGTCTAAGGTCATTTTGGTCCAGATTGTCCCATTCCTGTTGCAACGCAGCAGCAAGTTCTTGGACATTGGCAGGACGTTGTTGACGTTGAAGTAACCTCTGTCCAAGCATGTCCCAGACATGCTCGATGGGGAAGAGGTCGGGACTCAGTGCTGGCCAAGGTAATGTGGTGATGTTCTGTTGTTGGAGGTAACCTGTAACGATCATGGCCCTGTGACACCTTGCGTTGTCATCCTGGAAGATGAAACGGCGGCCATGACGTCGTGCGAACGGCACAACATGGACTGCCAAGATGTTGTCCCGGTAGTACTGGCCTGTAACACGCCCTGCAACAACATGTAAAGCCGTTCTTCCAGCAACAGTGATGCCTCCCCACACCATAACAGAACCACCCCCAAATCGATCATGTCTGATAACGTTAACGTCTTGGAAGCGCTCGTTTCGACGACGCCACACCCTCCTACGTCTGTCCAAAAAATCAACAGTGAACCTTGACTCATCTGAAAACATCACATTGCTCCAGCGTCGATTATCCCAGTGTTGACGATCCCTACACCAACGACGTCTTGCCTGAATGTGATGATCTCTCAAACAAGGGATCACGCGAGGACGTCGGGCGCGAAGGTGACCCCTATGCAGTCGATTCCGAATCGTCTGGCCACTCACTCTCACACCAGTGTCTGTTTGAAGACGAACGCTGATCTGATTTGCTGTGATGACACGATTTCTCAAGGCCAAGGTACGGATAAATCGATCCTGGGCTTGAGTTGTCGCCCTTGGTCGACCTGAGCGTGGTCTGTCCTGTACAGATTGTGTATCACGGTATCTGGACCATAGCCTGCTTATGACAGACTGAGAAACATTCATCGTCCGCGCCACAACCGCCTGTGTTGTGCCGATCTGTAGCATGCCAAGGGCACGTAACGGTCCTGTACAGATTGTGTATCACGGTATCTGGACCATAGCCTGCTTATGACAGACTGAGAAACATTCATCGTCCGCGCCACAACCGCCTGTGTTGTGCCGATCTGTAGCATGCCAAGGGCACGTAACCTTTCATTTTGGGTAAGCCGACGCATATCAAAATTTGTTTTCTGGTCACTAAAACAATTAAACTGATGTTTCCACCCTGGAATTCAATGCCACAATGACTGTAACATTCAAAGTCAGAGTCGTGCAAACCTTGGGTTGGACCCCCATGATGATCCCAAGCATCACCTGCATTCCATGCGGTAGCTATTGGTGAGTTTGGGCGTCACATGTAACTGGAAATGTTTCTTCTGTTAGGTTCTATAGTGACTTTTTTCGTAGTCATTTGCATATTTTAGTATTATGCCCCCAAAATCAAATATCCCCTACTTTTTTTTGAATAGTATATGTTAACGCGTCAAAGTTATTCATCACATCTGACACGAAAATATTTTCGTCTTTATTTTAGAAAAACCTGATTCGCACATTTTCGAAAATAAAACCTAGTCGCCCACAAGCAGCTGCTTTGGGAGTCCCGTCACACTAGTAAGATTTGAAGGCTCTTTTTCTCCGTACCCGGAGGGGGGGGGGTGAGGAACAATGTCCAGGGCCTATTCGATTTGGTGCATACTCTGGCATATTCTGGGCGTGCAACACAATACAACTTTTGTCATATAATAATCAGGGGCCTTAAAACATCAAATTACGTTCCGATACATGCTAATATCGACAAGAAACAGGATCGTGGGAATATTAACCTGTATTTCAATAGGTTATAGGCTTCGATACTATGCATATTACTTGATGTTTTCGTTCTCTCGTGTATAATTTGATATTGAATTATATATTACATTAATCTAACCAACTGGTTTGTTCCGACATTTAAGTATATTTCAATACGAATAATGAAAAGCATTAGACTTTCAGCTTTGAAAACATAACATTTTAACCATCAATCGGGTTGGTGGTACGAATTTGACGTTTAGCTGAATTCTTTCAGTTTTTTGGGGTTATTGTATTTAAGATAATGTCTATTTGGGAGTAACTTCTGTACAACTGCAGAAGTCAATTCCCATCGGCACCAGCTGGTAGTAAACATCTTATGTATGAAACGAACAAAACTATTGTTAGTTTTTTTTTATCTACTACCGGTAATTATCTCCAAAATAGCTGAATTACAAGTTATTGTCGAGGGTTATTGTTCCTTTACAGGTTTTTGCCAAGTCAATTTCGGTCATTTTTATTTTTTGTATCATAGGTTGGGTGGTTGCTTGTGAGCATAAATATTCTGAACCCACCCCATGGTAGAAGTAGCTATAGGACGTCAAACGTTGGGTGACGAGAAATGGGGAATTTGGATATCCTTTTATATCCAGTTAGTATACAGATATCGTTCACCCGAATCTTCTGAAATTAATTGTGTTGTAATAGCACTAGGTCATCTACAGACTCTGTATGTTTGGTCTTTTTGCTACGTATAGTAACGGTGCGACGACTTGCCAAATTTGGTATTTGAGAAAAGACGGATTTTGTTAATTTCACCATATGAAAAATGTGTAGTAATATGGAGGGCAAGAATTTGTGCTAAGAAACATCTATGTAAAATAATATTATGGTTTTGATTAATTATTCTCCATTGCCAACTGAGCTATAGTATAGTAAACATGTTGGTCATTTGCATTTTTCAAGGATAAATTCTAAAAGCATGTGATAGGAAAGTTACCATTTCATATTTGGCAAGAGTGACCAATCACATGATTAATTAATTACATCATAAATAGCCATTAGAATAATTAATGTGTGTGAATCTGAGAATATATAATTAATAGAATGTGCGCTCTAGGGTAGACAGCCAGGTAGTTCTCGTAAGGAGAAGATGTAGAATTTCCATCAGCAGACTCGCCGAGACTGCATGAGCGCAGGTTAGAGAGAATGACTTTGTTATGCTTGTAACTTTACAACCTATGTAGCAGTGCTTAATATAAAATGTAGAAACGAAATGTGGTATTGTTGTTACTATGTGTAACCAGAAACTCAATGGCAGAATAGATACACAATATTTAAAGTGGAGTCCTACAAGAAGAAAACAAGAAACAAATGCGGCCAGAGACAATACTAGGCGATCATGGGCTGTTCCAGAACATGTTGTAAGAAACAATGCATTTGTTATACGCCGGAGGTGGCGACCGGTTTGGGATCGCCCGCTCTCTAGGTCTGAAAAACGACCCATGGTGCTACAAATGTTTCTTCGATTTTCTCAGTCAGGAATTGAAGGATTTATCTGATATTACACATTAATGCGTTTTGGGACTATACCAACTTATAAACCAAATTTGGTCAAAATCTGTGATTTAAAAATTAGCAACTTCTGCATGGTGCTTCCGTGGACACTTGGTTATTTTAATAAACATTGGTATCGTTCACTATCCACTGAAATTTAAACGAAATCCAACAAATTTCTTTGTCAAAACCAAAATACTTCAGATATTACAATCACTTGAGAGCCAAACCTCACACAGATAACCGCGCAAACCGGGTGTGACATGCCATGACTTGGGTTCACCCCCATTCCGACTATGTCCCATTTCTACTATACCTCATTTCGACTACAAATTTTATTACTATATGGATCTGAAACACTAACATACGACGAAAACGTGTCAATATTTAGCCAGGTACATAATTTTATTGAACAAACCGAAAGATTTAAATTTGAAAAAAATAGCTGATTTTAATTATTTCAAATTTATGTTTACATGTAAATATTTTATTTGGTTATGTGTACATAATATATATATATAATTTCCTTTTTATCTATTCCTTTTTTTCTTCTTTGTTTTTTCAATATATTTATATTATGTAATTTATTTGTAACCGGGAGAGGGGTTTATATAGGCCTTGCCTGTTCCCCAATCCCCTCAGTTTCTGAATAAATATTGTTCACAAAAATTTGTTTTCATTACTCTCAAAATCCTGACCCACATCTAATCAGCAATGAACTGTTTCGGTGTTTATATCTACATATTTACTATCTTGTTTTGTTACATATTTCATACAATTTCTATTTAAATTATTTTTTCATTCTTTTTTTCTGTTTGTTTTGATATAATGTTATACGCTGTGGCCTAAATGGGATGTTTTGTGGAAGAATCTATAGAGAGGGTATACAAGTTGGGATAATACAATCTCCAGGCCATATAATTTGTTGTTGTGCGTAGGCAAAATGGGACGTACCGAGTGGTATAAACCCAAATATTTCCGTATTAAACCCTTTTCAACTTTAGTTGAAATAGACTGGAAATTATATCGCAAAACAGATTGAGGTATTAGGAGTTGACCTATTAGCATAATATCACTTTTTATAGATGTTGCCGGAATTATTACCATTGAAGCTAAAATAACTTGTGAACGCAATACAATATAGAGTTTTCATTATATTATGTCAATGAAAATTGTCACCTGAGTATATGCCGGAGGTGGCGACCGGTTTGGGATCGCCCGCTCTCTAGGTCTGAAAAACGACCCATGGTGCTACAAATGTTTCTTCGATTTTCTCAGTCAGGAATTGAAGGATTTATCTGATATTACACATTAATGCGTTTTGGGACTATACCAACTTATAAACCAAATTTGGTCAAAATCTGTGATTTAAAAATTAGCAACTTCTGCATGGTGCTTCCGTG